GGGAGCCGGGCCGCTCCTCCCCTCTCCTCCGCGCCGCGCTAAGCTTCCTTCCCGGGGGGCTGCCGGAAGTTGGCGCTGTCCGCACCCCTAAGTGCTGCGGCCTGGCGCGGGGTATCCTAGAGGCCCAGGTGGGAGGCGGCGACCCTCGTCCCCCGGAGCCCTCTCTGCGCACCCGTTCCCATCCGCGCCCCAGAGCCAAGCGTCCGACCCGGCCGTACCTTGCGATCCCCAGCCGCGCGTTCCCTCGCTCCGGTCCGGTGGGGCTGCGCGCCCGGGCTGGGCAGGCGTGCCCCCGCCGGCTTCCCGTTAGCCCCCGAATTCTCCCTCCGGCGAGGCGCCCCGAGGCCGCTGCCTGAGAGAAGTCCCGGCGCAGGCAGGGTGGACGCGGGCGCGCGGGGCTCCGCCTGGCCCGGGGGACGCCCTCTTCCCGGCGTCCCCGAGAGAAGCCTCCAGATTTGAAAATCAATTCAGCGTCGGGCGTCATTGTGCCCTAGCACAGTCACGCTCCAATCCAGGATGGACTCTGGTCCCGGGGTCTGGTGGGGACGCGTGGGGAGGCCCCCAGTGTGGGGCTACACCCGGCTGCCACATGCCGCGGCTTTCTTTCATTGACAAAGGAGAGAAAAAATCCGTAACAAAAGGCAGAGCCGTGTTGCTTAGGTGCTTTCATCCCCTTGGAGAAAGGACAGATGTGCCCATTGTCCGGCCCTGGGCAGTTACAGCCGGGTCAGCGCCGAGCCTCAGCCATGGGCGAGGGCGTTCACAATGGGGACGGGAATCGCGGATCTGGGCCCAGGCCTTCGATGAAGTGTGTGTGGCCTTCGCTGCCGGCCCAACTCAGGGGTTTGGGCTGTTAGAACCGGGGCTGGGGCCCAGCAGCGGGTGTTTCTGCAGAGTGTTCCCAGGCCCTTGGAGAGGCCAGGGCTGAGCTGGCAGCAGCGGTGGTGGTTGGGTCAAGGGACAAACCTTTGGGCGGGGAGCCTGGGCCAGGTCCCCACCAGGTAAGGCAGCAGCAGGCCCATCGCTTTGTCCAGGTCCCTGCCACTGCCAGGCAAGGCCATGAGCCAGGTCAGTCAAGGGTGGTGGGTACAGCCAGCCTGGCTGCCTTGGAAGGGCTGTGTCCTGGGGCTGGCTCGTCTGGCCGGCTCAGGTGGGAGAGACACCCTGGTCTTGTCTCAGTCATGTGTCTGGATGCCCCGGAAATGGGGGTCCATCCCAAGGGGCTCTGTCCCTACTTGTGCAGTCCGCATTACGGAGCTTGAAACCACCCTGCTCCGGACAAAAAGGCTTTGGGGAGAATACACGGCCAAAATGAGCTCAGGAAACAAAACAACCCTATTTCAGTCATCTCTAAATCTGCCTCTTCATACACACACATATATAAGCATAAAACATATTTTTGGTCAGTGGATCATCTAGTGGATCTAGTGGTAGGAAGTCAAATCATTTTTAAAAATCATTTCTGTTCTCTTTTTCGTATAGCATAGCGCATCCGGCCTTCACAGGAGATGAGACCAAACAGTGGGTTAAAGTAGCAGGCAGACTTTGAGCTACACTGCCCACTACTTATTTTAATCCCACCGAAATGATTGATTTGCCCTTATGACAACTCTGCTCATAAGGCAGTGTGTCAAAAGAAAGAAGTAAATGCCACCACTCACACGAATTGTCCATGGTTTTCACTCTGTGTAGCTAATTAGGGACTTGGTCCCGGAAACCCTCTTTCCTACAAGGATCCCAGCTGAGCCTGTAGAGGCCACCAAAAGAGATCTGGGACCTGGGAGCTCAGCACTCCCTTTTGTGAAAAGGGGACCCTGTGTCAGGTGCTGGTCCCCAAAGCAGAAGGGAAGGGAAAGATCTGGGCAACTGTGTCAAGCTTGCTCAGTTCAGCGTTTGACCCTTTTTGAAAAAATGCATGGGCAGGACTTGCTTTGGCTTGCAAATCTCCCTCATCTTTCTGGGCTGTTCACACCTCTTAGTTAACAGTGGTCTCCCTGTCTTCGATGAGTTGCAGTGATTTCTCTGCCAGAAGCAACAGAGTCTTATTACTTGACCCCTGGGAACTGTTTCCCAGGAGGTGTGCGGAGGAAGGGTGCTCTCCTCCTCTGAGCGAAGGCCCAGAGGCACCAGACAGATTGTCAGCTGCCAGAGGGCTGGGAGGACTTTTTGTCCTTTGTCTTGTCCACCTGCCCTGCATAATGCTTGGCACCCACTGGGTGAGGGTATTAGAGCTCCTTGAAACTTAGTAGGTCAATGTGTGTGTGCTGGGGCTTTGTAGTTACCCACTCAGATTTTGAGGAGCTTTGAGGATTTTAAAGAAAACAAAAAGAGTGTTAACATCAGAAAATTACATACCAGCATATATGTAAAGAAAAGACGACTGACTGGATGCTTGCTGCTGGTAATATTTTCAGTGTGGAAACAAGGATTTCGGGATGTTTATTTTGTAAATGTCAAGAGCAGGGAAGGGGGTACAATTTGCCTTATGCTGCCAGGCAACTCCACCAGCTTAGAAAAGCAGCAGAACAGGGCAGTTCCTCCAAGTGCTGACCCCACCAGCTTCTCTGGAACGTTCCGTTCAGAGGTAAAGTGCGAGCGATGTGGCACCGAGGCCAGCCCCAGTCCTGAAGAGATGTTTCTAGCCAAACCCCAGGATTGCAGCTCACAGGCAGGGACTGACTTCCTGGCTGCAGCCTGGCATGGGCAGGGCTGTCTTGTAGTCCCCTCCAGACCTCCCACCCACCTCTGGACAAATTTGGTTCCAAAATTGCTGCTGACTTAGAATAGAGCCCTGAGAAATCTAGAAGTCAGCAGCCCTGTGTTTTGCTATTAAAAACCATTTAAAAAACCCCCAGCTGGTTACCGGGCTGGGGGACAGCCCACTGGTAAAGCACACACTAGGTGCTGGGCTCTGAGTTCAAGCTCCAGCACCACAGAGAGAGAAAGTGATGGTTTTTCATCTTAGGGCCACGGAAGTGGTAACCAATTAGTCTAGCTCCTTCGTTCAATCTTTGATCTTCTGTTCAGCCATAGTTTGTATTCTGTTCTTTTTCCCCTTTTCCTTCTTAAGCTATGGATTTTGCCCATGGAGACAGTGTTTGTAACTTGGCATGTTTGCACTTTCCTTTGTTCCATCTCTGACTCAGCTCTCCAAACCCCAGAGAGAAATTCTGTGCTGGGGACGGGCAGTTCTGCCAACAATGCTGGCTAACTTGAGTTCCAGGGCCTGCTGAGACCACCAAGCGGGATTTGGAGAGGCCAGAGCACTGGGCTGCACGCCTGGGTGCTTTTTTCTGGGTGGAGGAAGGACCCTCTGCTATGCTAGGCCCTAGGTGACCTATCTAGAGGCAGCTTCTCTTGGGGCGCCCGCCTTGGTGAGGGCTGGCTGAGGCTTTGGTCCCAGCATGTTGGAGGAAGAGCGGAGGTCCCCGGGCATCTCGGGGTAGAGGGAGGGGTTCTTTAGGGTCCCGCACTAGACGGAGCCAGGACCCCATTGCTAGTTTCCAGCCCTTCAGTGGAGTTTCTTTTGTGGTCATACCTGTTTGTCATGGAAATATGTCATAAAGGGAACTGGCCCAGGCTGCAGTGAAGTGGTCAGATGCAGGGGAGCACCGAATGCTTCGCTTTCAGGGCTGGCATTTGGGGCTGCGGTTCTGGAGCGGCTCTGGATTGGCCCTGGGTTGGGGCTGGGAAGGACTGGAGCTGGAGCTGCCCTTGCTTTGTGCAGTTCAAGTGAGAATTTGGAGGGGTGTGGGGCAGGGTCACCATCCCCCGGGGTCTCCAGGCGCAGCACCTGCTCTGCTCCGGAGGGTGGTGGGAGGCTGGAGCTGCGTCCCTGGGCCTGGACTGGCCACCCTGCCCCGGGCAGGCTGAATGCTGGGCACACAGGCTGAGAGCAGCTGCGCCCGCCCGGGAAGGAAACTCTTTAAACAAATCATTTTGGTGTCTAATCAATTAGTGTTTGCCCAGTCAAGTACCATAGTTTTAACAGAATAATCGTTACTGCCCTTGTCTTTATTTGACCCACAGACACCTAACAGATTTAAAAATAAAACCCCAGTGTTCTGGGCCCCTCGCCCATGGCCTGTGCCTCTGTCCCGGCTCACTTGCCTGGCCTAGCTCAACCTTCTGCTTCCCTTCTCTCTTCATCCTCCTCCTCAGACACTGCACAGCCCACCTCTTCTTACCAGGCGGACAGGCCTTGTGTGATACCCTTCGGCCTGACACCATCCAGGCCTGGGATTACGCAGTCACCAAGTGTCCAGTCTGTCCTGACCCCTGCCCTCCTGCTCCTTCCTGAACCTTGCAGGTCCAAGGAGTCCTCGGGGTGCATCTCTGGCTTCCATGGAGCTCAGGAAGACCTCCCCATGCAGAAGGGGGCTACAGGGGGAGCATGGATCTCTGCCTGAGTGGAGCCGAGCAGGGAGGGCTGCTGGGGTTCAGCAACTG